TTTAAAAAAAAAAAAAAAAAAAAAAAAACTCCAGAGAACCAGAAGTCTTTAGATCAAATGACAAACATGGAGACATTTACCTTCTTCTTTGTGCAACACAGGAAACAACAGAGTTTCCTTTTTTTTTTTTTCTTTTTTTTTTTTAAAAAAAAAATGTCGACACAGAACAGGAACAGGTTTTCCGTCCCAGGTGATAACTGAACTTCTGTTGGTTTTTATAACGCAGAGTTTGGCCTGAAGAAGATGTGGAAGAGCCCCAACGGAACCATCAGAAACATCCTGGGCGGCACCGTCTTCCGTGAGCCAATCATCTGCAAGAACATTCCCAGGCTGGTACCGGGCTGGACGCAGCCCATCACCATCGGCAGACACGCCTTTGGAGACCAGGTGAGTGTCTGTCCTACGTGTTGTACTGCAGTATCAGTTAGTATCCGTTTGTACGAAGTCAAACCCGTTCTTTTTCTGTTTCCTCCACAGTACAGAGCGACAGACTTTGTCGTCACCCAGCCCGGAAAATTCAAGATCATCTTCTCACCGGCTGATGGATCCGCGGGCAAGGAATGGGAGGTGTACGACTTCCCGGCCGGCGGCTGCGGAATGGGCATGTACAACACGGACGAGGTGAGTGTGTACAGACGGGATCAGTCTGCAGATTGATCTAATCTCATCAGAGAGAGAACAGTCTGAGCGTCTTATCTCTCCCTCTCACATGACTTCATCAACTCAACGCCGAACCTGTGGTTAAAACTGTCTTGACTAATTATGTTTACTGAACAAATGTCAAAGACTTTTAGTCTATTTGCGTTGACATAAGTCGTTCATTACTGAGGTGGAAACTCAACACTTTTTTTTTCTGCCCTCTAGTGTTTGGTGTATGTTAAACATTAGTGAGTAAACAGACTGAGGCTCTGTTTGATTTGACAACATCAGAGGTCACAGGAAATGACTTTCACCTCGTCAGGGTGAAGGTTGTTCACCTGCTGCTGATTAAAAAAAAAACAAAAACACACGCTTCTTTTTTTCCACTTTATTTATTTGTTTGTTTGTTTTTTTCCCACAGTCTATTTCAGGCTTCGCCCACAGCTGCTTCCAGTACGCCATCGGCAAGAAGTGGCCGCTGTACATGAGCACAAAGAACACCATCCTCAAGGCCTACGACGGCAGATTCAAGGACATTTTCCAGGACATCTTTGAGAAGTACGCAGACGATGATTTAGTTTTGGGATTTCTTTTTTTCTTTTTTTTTTTTTCTTCTTTTTTTTTTTAAACCTTGTGTGCACGGCTCCAGAAATGACATGTTTTTTGTTTTGTTTTTTCTGCAGGAACTACAAGCCTCAGTTTGACAAACTGAAGATCTGGTACGAGCACAGGCTGATCGACGACATGGTGGCCCAGGTGCTCAAGTCTTCTGGAGCCTTCGTGTGGGCCTGTAAGAACTACGATGGAGACGTCCAGTCCGACATCCTGGCCCAGGGTGAGACGCGTTTTTTTTTTTTTTTTGACATGAAGAAAATCAACTTTTAACATCAGAGTAATTAATGATTAATCCTCAAGTATCATCATGGTGATCAGTGTGTGTATAGAGCAGAGTGAATATATGCATATCATTAAAAGTCAAGCCATAAAATGAATTACTTTGACTTCTAAAAATTAGCATTAGCAATTAGCAACGTTGGATAAAAGATAAATAAATAAATAAAAAGAAGTGCCACAAAATATAGATACAAATGTTGGCCTCTATTCCTAAAGAAAAGTCAACAAAGTTTCTGGCCACACAAAGTGTATCTAAGTGCAGCAGTGAGCCCTCGGGCCACATTTTGGACAACATGCTCGAAGACATCGGTCTTTGCTGACCTGTCGTCCACGTGTCTTCACTCAGGATTTGGTTCTCTGGGTCTGATGACATCGGTCCTGGTGTGTCCGGACGGAAAGACCATCGAGGCCGAGGCCGCCCACGGCACCGTGACCAGACATTACCGTGAACACCAGAAGGTCAGTGACGTCACTGTGCCATTACTCCCGTCGTGCACTTAGTCTTTACATCTGCTCATATCAAATGTTGAAAAAAAAATAAAAGAAAAAGAGAACAGGAACACGTGGGAAGAGTGCGGTTTGTGAAATTCTGCTGCCATCTTGAGGCGAAAATGAGGATAACACGTCGACACAAACTCTTCCAAAACAGTTGAGAATGGAGTGTGGTTTGTTTCTATGGTAATAACATGTCAGCACTGACTCCTCATTCTAACTTTAACCTCCAGGGGAGGCCCACCAGCACCAACCCCATCGCCAGCATCTTCGCCTGGACCAAAGGCCTGGAGCACCGCGGCAAACTTGATGGCAACCCTGACCTCATCAAGTACTTGAAGTTTTTTTTAATCATAAACACACTGAATCAAGAAAACTATAAACTCCTTTTGTTTTTAAACATGTCTTGTGTTTTTTTTTTTTTTTTGTTTTTTTGTGATCATAACAAACTCACTGAATCAAGAAAACTCTAAACTCCTTTTTTTTTAAACATGTCTTGTGTTTTTTTTTTTTTTTAGGTTTTCCCAGACTTTGGAGAGAGTGTGTGTGGAGACGGTGGAGAGCGGTACCATGACCAAGGACTTGGCCGGCTGCATCCATGGACTGTCCAAGTGAGTTCATTACCCCGAGCAGTACTACACAAACGATTTACGGTTCTCTGACTGACATTTGTTGTTTCCAAGTATCAGCACTAAAATACTGCAGAGAGCTCTACACGGTTCTACTAATACTAGTGTTTGAAGAGTACTAGGATTACTAGTTAATTTATAATACACTATGTACAATGAAGTACTACTAGTACTGGTACTTAAAATTAAGTCTAAACACCTGTATTTAACAACTAAGGGACTCACCTTATCCTAGCAGTAATCACGTGTACCACTAGAGGGAGCCAAAGTACAACTAGTTGTGCCGCACCACAGTTCTTTCTCTAAATGATCAGAACCAGAAAGTCACACATATATACACATATATACTGTGTGTATATATTTATATACATATATATATATGTATATATATATGTGTGTGTATGTGTATGTATGCAAGCCTGGCTGTATATATTTGTGTGTGTGTGCTTGTGTGTTATGTATTATGTTTGTTTGAAAATTCTAATACTTACAAACAAACATAATAATATTGAATCATAATAGTGCATTCACTCCTTTCAGTTTATAAAACTGTTAGTTTGCCAACAATTACGCGTCATGGTAACACAGAGCGTATTCCGTGTGCGTTACGCGGCCGTTTTAATACCGACAAATGCACCAAAATGGAGAAGAACAAAAAGCAGCAGTTTGTCCTGAGACGTCGTCTAGATTCAGGTACAGCATTTTTGTTTTTTGTTTTTTTAAATAATCATCTGAATAAATCATGACTTGAATATTGAGGAGCTGCTGTTTTTGTTGACCGTCCTGAAGGAAACTGTAGCACATGTTTCATTAGCTGCACTTTTACAACTAATGTGGCTTTTTAAAAAGAAACGGAATTCATATAAATGAGCTCGATTTAAGGACAGCACTTTTAGTCTCCTGTGGCGTAACATTGCTAATATGCTAATACAGTGTTGTGTGTGTGCACGCTATAAGGTAGCAGCTAATGTTGTACGTCTTTAAAAGTCTAATAATTTTTTTATATGTATGCATGTGTATATATTTGCGTGTACATATATGCATATATGTATGTATATACAATATGTACATTATATGTGTTTATATATGTATGTACGTATATATATGTCTATGTATGTATATGTAATATACATAATATATGTATATATATTACAGTATATATGTATGTATATATGTATATAGATGTCTATTTATGTATGTATATATATGTGTATATATGTGTATATATATATATATATATATATCTATGTATATATAGACGTTTGCTTGAAATGCTTAAAAATATTCTTTTTCGTCTACTTTTACATAGTCTCAGTAGAAAACCCAGCGTGTCCCAAGGGACTCCTCTAGAGATCAATAAAGTTCTATCTATCTAGTTCCTGGTACCGAGCCTGGACATGTACCCGGTGGTGCATATAACAAAGGCGGTGCCGACTCTTTCACTGTTGAGTTAAATGTGGTTGTGATACTGAAGTACTGCGTTATCCGACGTCTCCTCTCTGCCTTTCAGTGTCAAGCTGAACGAGCACTACGTCAATACGACGGACTTCCTGGACGCCATCAAGAATAACCTGGAAAAAGCCCTGGGCAAGTGAAGGAACCGGAGGAGATGGTAGTTAGCTCCCTCCCAGGAGGCAGCGTCTGTTTTTGTACCTCATTTTTAACTTAAATTTAAAAAGGTCAATAAAATCAACTCACATTTCATCTGAAGGAAGAAAAGATAAACAAAGCTACTATTTATAGGATGACATTAGTGTTCTGTTAGGCTAGACAAGTCCAGGTATCGTTCCGCGCCCCACGCCCCGCGCCCCACGCCTCCTTCCACAACTCCTCACCCACTCCTATTTGCAAGGTTTTATTTTTGTAATGTGAAGTACTGTATTCAGTTACTGTGTAATGTCTGGGCAGGACTGAAGCCTGTGTCAAACACACTCGCTAATAAATCCCTTGTTTGACCCGTCATTTCTTTCCTTTGTTCTCCTCGAAATATATGTTTGCACCGAATGTTTTTTTGTTTTTTAAAAAAAAATAAGATTTCTAAATAATTTAAGTCACTTGTGCTTTAAACGTTCACAACAAAAAAGGACAAAAGCCACATTTTTATACATAACATGGTCACGCTAGCTAAAACCTAGCCATGGAGATAGTTGTGACTCGGTTTAAATATAAATATATATACAAATATATATGTATATTTAGACATATATTTTTGTACATATATATTTGTGTATTCATATATTTACATAGGTCTATGTATGTATGTACAATGTGACTATATTTGAATATATAAATATATATTAAATATATAAATATATATTAATAAAATATATAAAATAAAATATAAAATTTTAGAGAAAACATCTTTGCAATGGATTTTAAAGGTAAATAAATTTATAATTTTACAGTCTTGTCTGGTACACAGTGTTGTACATACAGTCTTATCAACACTAATACAGAAACACCTTTTTTTTCTCTCTATTTTCATAGAATCACTGACAAAACCAGTGATAATAAAGTTAACACAGAAGCCCGCAGGGGGGTAAAAAAAAAAAAAAAAGCTTTGTTTTTGTTGTGCTGTGATATTAACCAGTCAAAAAAAAGAAAAGAAAAGAAACTCAGGACCTGCATGGTTGCAGAGACCCAGATAGATTCAACATTTCCCAAATCATTTCCCGCCGAGGTCTCACCGCCCTGTCACATGTCGGGAGGCTGTCGTTCATCACTCCAGACCAGTGTACGGCGTGATGGATGGCACGCTCCTGCAGACACCACCGGGCCACTTAATATTTCTGTCTTCTGAGATATTTTGGGAAGCAGTGACAGTTCTTGTTGGCATTTGTCCATTTAGAAAAATTCAGATGGAGCTACAGCGTGATGCTGAGCTGTGCAGAGGTAACGGTCTGCTGAAGGAGGAGCTGCACCACTGTCTGATCACTGCTGTAATCTTCTGAGAAAGATCTGCAGATGGAAGGGAAGGAAGTCCTGAACGCACTTTCACCAGGTCTTTGCCAAATCCAATGTCCCAGACCAGGCACGACCTCAGAGGACAGAGGACAGAGGACGGAGGACAGACGGTTCCTGCAGACGCTGCAGTCGATCCAGTTCTTTATCGTTAGTTCTCAGCACCTGCTGTAGAACGTAGAATGTTCTGGATGAGCTTAGCTGTGATCACATCCTGGTTTGCATCACTGTGCAACCACTAACTACTTTTGCCCACTAGTAGGCGCTGTGACAATGTACGGAGGTCAACTTAGAAACTGAATGTGACAGAGACAAAAACGAGCTGTTTTTCTGAGACCTGAAGAGACATTGTCAAAAACGAGCTGTTTTTCTGAGACCTGACTCTAGGGGGTTCTGTTGAGCAGTGTTGTCAGCCGTGAGTAATGGATCTAAAACAGCCTAAAAAAGCCAGGAGATTTTGTGTATATCAAATAGATGTATTTTATTTGCATACTTTTTTACCAGTAGGAGGCGCTCTTATTATTAGAGAATATAGTTCCACTATATAATTTTTTGAGAACATAATCTAGATTGAACATGGTTCTCTCTAGATTTACACTCACATAGTTGTTCATGTCATGCATGTCATTTTACCTGCCAGTAGGGGGTGCTGTAACAAAGTTAATATTTTTATTTACTTGAAGAAGTCAGTTTTCAACAGCTTGAACCATGTTCCATAGAATTTAGTCAACCTAGTTTTTCCTGGTAAAACGTTAAATTTTCTCTTGCCAGCAGGGGGTGCTGTGACAAAGAATCTTAATAGACCTTTACAGGATTTTGTTTTTTGACATGTAACATTTAAAATACAATGTTGTTGATCTAATGCTGACCTTAGGGGGCACTGTTTAATCACAATGCAATGGTTTTGGCAGAAGAGGAAGAAGAAGAAACGTGTCTCACGCTTTAAAATAGTTTGAGTATAATTTCTTTCATCAGTATTTTAAAAACATTCCACATGAACAAATACATTCAGACCAGATATGAACACAGAGTGAGGCTTCGTTAAAGCAGCGACGTACAGAGTAGTCGACACAGTGGTCCTCAGTGCAAACACACCGACCGCAGTACCAGCCCTGGACAGCAGGGCCGATACTCCTGTACAGTAATATACACACATAAAAAAACAAAAAACAAATATAGTTTAGGCCATTTTGCAGATTTTTAAATTAAAATTCACAACAGTCTATAAATCAAAGTCAACCATCGACCTGTACAGATGAAACAAAGCTTTGGCAAATGAAGAGGAATGAACTCAAAAGTGTCTTCTTTAAACCTTCACATGGCTGAGAGAGCGGCTGATTGGACGACGTAAGTGCACGACAGTTGTTGTTTTCCCCGTAGACTGTATATAAGAACTGGACCAGCAACTTCAAATTGGAAAAATAGGAGTCATTCTCAGTTTGTATTTCAAAGCTATGGTTCACACATCTTTAACTATTACAGCATATTTAGAGGAAAATGGCAGATAAAGCAGCACCACTGGCTTACAGTGACAAAAACATTTATAAAAATAGTTAAAAATTAGCATGAATTAGCCGAAAGTTTTTAAAAAGTTTTAACGTTTTCCTGAAATAGGAGACTGTCAGTGGGACATAATAGTGCTTTTCCATCCGTTTTATTTTCCTGAAATAGGAGACATAATAGTGCTTTTCCATCCGTTTTCTTCTAAATAGTACCATCATTAAAATACTCTGAAGTACTATCGATGTAAAGGTGTGAAGTTAGGTTCAAACTGGTGGAGCAACATTTTGACGGCTGTGTCCGTTTCTTATATACGGTCTCTAAAGAATCCAACTTAGGCTCAGCCGATTTCTTTGATCCTCATAAAAACCAACAACAAACTTATATAATCTTTCATAAACGTCCGTCCTCAGTAGATCTGCAGTGTTTTAAGAGATGAATAATATGTCGTTACATTTAAACACAGTTTGTTTTTAATAATTTGGTAGATAAACCACTTATTCCAGTGCATATGAATAAATGTGCAGTTTTTTGGGCCCAGTTTTTTTTTTCATGTTTGCTCCTGAAGAACAACAAAAATCACCTTGAGGAGTCAAACAAACAAACAAAGAAAGACAGAAATCAAAGATTCTAATCATTCACGGAGTGTTGAAGCGCGCCTCAGCCTTGACGTAGGGGCTGTAATACTCCATCTGCGACAGTTTGCCAATGTCCGGTGTGTTGTTGTTGTTAGCGCGGTTCTCCCTCTCGCTGAGCTCAAAGCTCTCCTCCTCGTAGTCCTCCTGGTTCTCAGGGTCTGGGGCGGGTTCTGAAGAAATGATGTGGAGGAAGGAAGAGGAAAATCGAAATGTCAGTTTTATTTGGTTGGAAAACAAAGACGAGGATGTCAACAGACGGCTTCATAATGTGCTAACAGCTAAGAAACGCATGTCGATAAATATCAAGACGTTTATATTAATACAAGCAGCAAAAGCGAAACTTTAGTGTGGTGTGACATTGACATAAAGAGAAAGCTTTAGTGTGGTGTGACATTGACATAAAAGTTGCTCAACAATAAGGCAGAATCGGGTCAGGTTTACTAAAAATAGCCCGTATTTTGTGAAAGAAAACCACTTGTCGAGTAGCATTAAAAATGCTAAAGGAAAAAGCCGGCTACGTAGATCGTAATTTCCCAAAGTTAGACAAGAAGGTTTAAACAAGATGATGGCTAAATGGGAGTTTAAAATAAAGGTTAGCTACAAATATATCGCCAACTCTAGCTAAAAAATTGAGCTGAGGCTAACTGAGGCTAACACACACGTACTTAGCAGTTAGCTGAATATATCGTGAAAATACTCAAAGGAAGTTCGTAAGAGTAGTCTACAGTATTTGGTGATGGTTCAGTATTCACTATTATAAATAGCAAAAAATACTAAACGTTTACTAGGACAGTTGTCCTTGTAATGATCAAACTTTAGTGGAAGGGGGCGCTCTCACCTTGTCCGTCTATGGAGACGTCCATGATGCCGTGTTTAATCTTCATGTGTCGGCTTAGGTTTCCCTTCAGGTTAAACTTGCTGCTGCAGTAAGGACACTTGAAGGGTTTGCTGCCCGCGTGCAGGTGCATGTGACCCAGCAGGTTGTACATCCTGTTGAAGGACTTTTCACAAACCTGGGGAAAAGTACGCCAAAATTAGCTTTGAGACAACTTTTAAAAAAGTAAGGAGAGCAGGAAGATTGTGAACGCAGAACCTGACCTTGCATTTGAAAGGTTTGACCGGCAGGTGGACGATCATGTGGGTCTTCAGGGTCTGTTTCTGGACGAAGGTCTTGAAGCAGATGTGACACTGGAAGGGTCTGACGCTGGTGTGGATTAGCATGTGTCTCTTCAGGTTAGCAGACACCGTGAAGGCTCTGGAGCAAACGTCGCACTTGAACTCTTTCATTCCCTGAAGAAACGCGAGAGAAAAACACCCCAAATCATTCAAGTTGTCGTCACCGCCGAGGTCTCAGAAGGCTGGGACATTTCTTTGAAACGTTACTCAACATCGACTTAGCTGCTAGCTTTCTTTTTTTTGGATAACGATATATTTTTAAAAAAAATATTTTTTATATATTTAATCCTAAATGCACAAAACTGTCCCTGCGAATGTGAGTTAGGTGTGATCAGAAGTCAAACTGAAATGGGGAAAATTTGATCGAGATACGAGTGCTGTTGACGGATTCAACTGGTATCTAGGTCCACTGCACAATTTCTTTTCAGGAAACCTTCGCAAAGCTCAAATAATTTTGCCGGTTCACATATAAGATTGTTAAAACAAAAACACAAACGTGATGTTCAGAAGTGCGTTCAGTGACCCGGAGTTTTCTAAAAAGAAAATAACGATCCGGTGATCTCTCCGTAACTCTACCTTGTGAGTCAGGGCGTGTTGTCGCAGGTGGTGGATCTGCACAAACTCCATTCCGCACTCTGGACAAACGTAGGGTCTGACGTTCTGGTGCTTCATCAGGTGGTTCTGCAGCTGGCTGTGGTAGGAGAAGGACTTGTGGCACTCTGTGCACTGGTACGTGGTGGGGCCCTCGTGGCTGGTCAGGTGGCGTTTCAGGTGGGCGTAGGTGGGGAACTCCAGGCCGCAGTGCGTGCAGACGTGGCACTGACCGTTCTCGTGCTTGTTCTCGTGCGCCCTCAGCTCGCTGGGGTAGGCGAAGCCGCGGTTGCAGAAGCGACAGCTGTAGGGCTTCACGTCGGAGTGCTGCAGCATGTGTCTTTTAAGGTGGCTGGTCTGGGTGAAGGCCTTCTCACAAACCGTGCACTTGTGAGGCCGTGTCCCCTGGTGGGTGAGCAGGTGCGTCTGGAGGTGGCTGGGCTGCTTGAAAAGCTTCCCACAGTGGAGACATTCGTGGGTCTTAATTCCACTGTGACCCAGAATATGAGTCACCAGGTTGTATTTGGAGGTGTACGACTTGTCGCACATGCGGCACTTCCAGCGTTTTAGTCCCTCGCCCACGTCCACGCAGTAGGACTCGTCGATCTGCACGTTGATGTCCAGTCGGTCTATCTGCATTCGCCTGGCGAGACCTTCGGGGTCCGACCACAGCATGGCCTGACCGTTGTCCTCGTACTCTCCCGTCAGAGGCATCTCCGCAGACTCGTAGGCCGTCTCCTTGGAGTCGTAGTAGCGATTCTCCAGAGGACTGCCGTTCTCACGAGCCGTCGTGAGGTTCAACGCCTCCTCCTCCTCCTCCTCTTCTACTTCTTCTTCTTCTCGTGGCACCTCCACCTTTCCGACTTTGCTGTCTCTTGCTGCGTCCTTCTCCTCCTCTGCTTCCTGTTCTGGTTGTCCATCAGTTTGTGTGTCTCTCACACACGAGGAACAGTCTACACAGGTCTTCTCGTCCTTCAGAGCCCCGTCCCGTTGGGTTGTGCCGGGGTTCTCCGACGCGGCGGGACTTTGCCTGTTGATTTCGTGAGTGCAGGATGACGGTATATCAGACTCTAGCCTTTCATCCTTCACCTGAGCTTGGTGACACGTCGCCCTCTGTTGAGGAGTCTCTGGTTCTTCATCGCTCCTGGGTCTTTTGTTGCTCCGAGGAGGCGCGGCTCGTCTGCTCTCGCTGCAGTGGGCCTGAGGCTCCTGAGGATCTCCGGTCGGTTCAGGCAGGTAGTCTCCGTTGGCTCCGATCAGCTGGTCGGCGTACTCGTAGTCCATAGCCTCGGGCGGGGGAGGAGGGGACTCCCTGGGCTCCCCGGTGTAGAATCCGTTGGGGGCAATGGTGGCCCCGAAGATTTCATTCTGTGAGATGAGACCGAGAACAGCGGCCTGAGCCAGAGATAGAACCACCACCGGCTCCGTCTGGGTCCCAACGTCCACCTGGCTCTCTGTCATCTTGGGGTAGTTTCGCACCGAGCGGTTGCCGTCTTCCTCCTGAAAGACAACATACGGAACAAATCTTTGATATTCTGATATTCAACAACACTACTACAGCGACCCCTATAGACTATAGTAAGTACTACACACCACAGCGACCCCTATAGACTATAAAGGACCATCCAAAATGTTGGGTTATTTTTCTGTCCTCATGTGACCCCTCCCGTACTCTGGCCAGGGGCATTTACACAAAATATTGTTTGTTGTTGTTTCTAGTTCTGTCCACTAGGTGTCACTTTAAATACATACGTATAAATAGACACTGCACCTGTTGCAGCCTGTCAATGAATATGATGTTTTTCATGTGAATTACTGACACCTGTGGACAAGAGAAGAAATACAGCAGCGTGTAGTTGTAGCATGACGATGACGCCTCGTGGTCACGCCGCTATTGGACCATCGTCCTGTCAATCAGCGTGACAGAACGACAGCTTCTTCTATAGAAACACTGAAGGCGTGAGACTCTTTCATCAGGAAGATCAAAGGAAATTGATTGGTCAGATTGATTAGACCAATCAGGTTACTGCTACAGCCCTGCTGCAAACTACTCCAATAAAACCCCCCCTTCACCCTCCAGTTAGGAACACACTGTGGAAGAGTGGTCAGTTCGACCCCTGCTGGTGACTGGAGGTCTCTGCATGATTTTTTTTGTTGTGTTTGCACGGGATTCAGATGAGGTCAACTGGCCGACGCGATTTTGTGTTTGCACGGGATTCAGATCAGGCCGACGCGAGGTTGAAAACGTAGATCTGCACACCTCCTATTTATGTAAAATCCCTCAGGTTCACTCTGCCCCCTGCCTGACACCAGGGTCATTGCACGTCCCACTCCCCAAACTGTGAAGACAAAGTGTTAAGACAATATTTTCAGGGGTAACTGGGACGACGCCTTGTTTCTCTGCTTTGAAACCACAGAACAGTAGAGACGGAGGACACGTCTCTGCGAGCTTCCTTCCTCCGCTGACGTCTGACAATAATGAGGAACACAAGAAGGGGATGGAGGTCCGGTCCAAACAGGAAGTGGACTTCCGTCCTCAGCACTTCCTGTGGAGGTCCTGGGGGAATCTGTCCCATTCATGGAAGAAGTGAACCTGTAACGGTCGGAATCTTCCGGCTCGGCCGCGCTTCCTTTAAAAGGAAAATAATATGTATATATATATTTCTATATGTGTGGAAGACGCCTCATATCCAGAACAGACATTGGGCTGAGCCTCCTGCTCATTCTGTATTCTACACAGACGCATCTGAATCACTAATGCAATTGCCTGGTTCAGAAGTGTTCCAGCTTCACACGCACATGTTTACTCTGCAGTCTGAAGAAGGACGGAAATAAAGTTTAAAAAAAAAAAGCAGAAGAGTGAGACAGAGAAGAGGAAACGCCACTAAAGCAGAAGTGTCTGTCGCAGGATTCAGACCCGTCGCGGCGCCGACATCATTTACAGAAAACTAAGCTTCACTCACCGACCGAGCTCTGGCTCTCTGCTCATCACTGACAGACGTTAGAGACCAACGCGTCCATTAAGTTTCCTGTCCTCAGACAAAGAATCCGAAAAAACCTGTCGTCATCTACGCTAAACTGATACCGATGGTGACCAGAAGGACACGGACGGAAACTGCTGCTGAATGTGCTGATGAACAAACAAACTCAGGTCCCAGAATTCAAACCATGTTGACCAAGTTTAAATCCATCCATTTTCTTCCACTTATCCGTTACCGGGTCGCGGGGGCAGCAGTCTCCATGACCCAAATCACACTGCCCCGTACCAACCGCCCTGACCGGGATTCGAACTTGCCCAGGAGGTGAACCCTGGGGCTCCACACCAACGACAGAGACGTCGCCTCTGGACCAAAGCGCCACCGTTTAAATTCAAACTGCTCTATTCAATAGCTCACGAACATGTGCTGCCCTCTACTGAAAAATATCTATAATACTTTATGAAGATGAAGATCAGACGACGTTGACCACCGACCGTTGACCACCGACCGTTGGACGGAGTATTATATTCAACCATCGTCGGTTCCGGCTCCTTTGAAGTAGATTTGACTTTCATTTTTTTTTAGCCTCCGTCCCAAACGTGGAAGTTTAACCGGTTCGTCCTGTTGGTCATTTCGTCAAATAATTCAGATTCATGTTAAATATTTCAGGACGTGCGCCAACTTTTCTGGGCCTGAGGTTTGAAGAAAAAAAAAAAAAAACGAAACATAAACTGGAGCTCTGACCTTTTTTCTTTTTCTTCTTCTTCTTTTTCTTTCTTTTCTTCACAGAGCACTTTTTGAGTCTGTGCTACAGAAGCATGAGCAGGAGAGAGAGAGAGAGAGAGAGAGGGCGGGCGAGAGAGAGAGAGAGAGAGAGAGAGAGGCTGAGCTGCTTTCCATATTCTGGCAGAATACAAAGAGGGAAAAGAAAAGAGAAGATTGAAGAAAGGTGGGAGATAGTGAGTGATATTGCAGGAAGAAAGGTGTGTGTGTGTGTGTGTGGTAGACCTGGATGCCCTGATAACCACGTCATTTATAATTACTGCTTTTAAAGTAGTCAGACAGAGCCAGACCGAGTGTGAGTGTGTGTGTGTGTGAAAGGAAGAAAGAAGAAAAGAAGAGGAGGGAGAGAGACTGGGTGTGTATTTAAAAGAGCATGTGTGTGTGTGAGTGAGAGAGAGAGTGTGTGTGTGTGTGGGAGAGAGAGAGTGTGTGTGTGCGTGTGAAAAGAGAAAAGAGGGAGGGAGAAAGAGCTGTGGGCGGGGGAGGAGACAAGAGAGAGAGAGAGAGAGAGAGAGAGAGAGAAATGAGATGGAGGGGCTGAAAGATAAAGAAAGAGGGGAAGGAGGGAGGAGGAAAGGGAGGGAGGGAGAAGAGGAGTGAGCATGTGAGTGTGTGAGAGAGAGAGAAAGGAAAAGGAGTGGGAGGTGCAGGCACAGGGAGACAGAAAAGACAGAGTGAGTGAGAGAGAGAGAGAAAAGAGAGGAGAGAGAGAGAGAGGGAGGGAGAGGAAAGTGGAAGAAGAAAATAAAAAAAATAAAAAATAAAAAATAAAATACAAGCAGAGCCCAGGCTGACAGGATGGAAGAGAAAAAGACAGATGACAAGGAGGGAGAGGGAGAGAGAGAGGGAGAGAGAGAGGGAGAGAGGGAGAGAGGGAGAGAGAGAGAGAGAGAGGGAAGGAGATCCTGTACTTTTTCTTTTCTTCTTCTTGGTTTTAAAAGACATTCAAAAGTTGCCGTCAAACCCACCTGAGGACAAAACAATTAGAGCACCAACTCCAGACGTCCACATGTTGACGCTGCGGCTCTTCAAACGTTCAAATCAACAATAAATAAATACAAAATAAATAAATAAATAAATAAATAAATAATCCCGGTCAAACTCAGTCAAAACAAGACGTAAACAAGTGTAAATACAGACGAGGCAAAAGGGGCAAAGCTCACAACAACAACACCAACAACCACCACCGGGGGGGGGGGGGGGGGGGGGCTCGGGGGTCATTAGTACAAAACATGTGTTACACAACACCTATATATAAACACATCTGAACATTAATATGCAGTATCTGTGACTCTACCACCATTTTGACAGCTTGTGTTGTAACAACTTCACGAGGGTAACAGTTAAAACTGAGGTTCAAAGTTACGCTGCTAAACTAAATAATTTCATCAACATAGAAAGTCAAAAAAATGAATTAGGAGAGGTATCATATTGTAGATATTTAAGTCGTAGTTCTCTACATGCAACTGACTGTGCCTGTCCCCCACCCCAACACCCGCACCACCACCTCCTTCCCCTTCACCGCCACCACGTGCACACACACACACACACACACTCACACACACTCACACACACACACACACACACAGCATCACCCCATTTTTTTCTCCTCCCCCCTCCTCCCCCCTCCTCCCCCTCTTCCTCTTCCTTCCCATCTCACTTCTCTTTCTCTCTCTACTCTTTTCTCTTACAAACACACACACACACACACACACACACACATACACGTAGCATTCATCTTATCTTCCTTTCTTACAGCCTGACCCTTCAACTCACACACACACACACACACACACTCACACACACACACTCACACACACACCCAGGCGTTAATATCTCTCCTCTCTTGATCACTCTTCTTCTTTCATCACTAACAATCCTCTTTCATGTTCTTCAAACCCAAAACTCCGCAAAAAAAACAGTTTTTTTTCTTTGAATACTTTCTTCACACACACACACACACACACACACACGTACGTTTGTTCGTTTGTTTATTTAACGCTGCTAACAACCTAGCCGGTTTTCGTAAAAGTTGGTACACTTTGCGACAATCTGTCAAATACAGATTTGTTTATAAGCTAGCCGACACTGTTAGCTTAGTTAGCTTTGAACTTCGTACCCGCCTCACGTAGTCATTTTGGCTAAATATTTGCTTTTTTTTTTTACATTAGTTACAGTCAAGTAAAGCTACAAGCTTTTCAAAAAACATTTGCGATTCCCGATGAAGATTTTCAAAAAAATTAAATTTTTTTTCTGCTTTGTTTTTAGCCTCCGTGCTAACTGTCGATATGGCTAAGGCTACTTCGTACATCTTTGAAATGACACGGGCGACAGATGAGGAGTTACCCGGTTAAACACGTAGATGACGCCGCGTTAGCATGTGTAGGTGCTAACATTGATGCTAGCACTGATGCTAACACCGACTTCATCGATAAAAATCAGCAAAAGTTTTTATTGACGTTATGAAGTCGTGTAAACTTTTGTTTATTCCGACGTCTCTCGTCTTTAGGTCCTGATTTTTGTGGGATTCTTAATCAAACAGATGTTGATGATCGAGAACTTTTCTTCACTTCCTGTTTCTATTTTATGTTTGTGGACGAAAATAAAATGTGTGAAAAAAAACCTGGTGCAGATTTTTTTTTTTTTTTTAATTTTTTTACAAATGACTTGACAAATACCGGAGGGAACAAAAAATGACCGATTTGTCGACATTAAAATCATAATTAGCCTAACGGACACACACACACACATACACACGATGGCGTGTCGTGGGGTCGTTGGGTCGAGGTCCGTCTGTCAACAGCTCAGCCGTCACAGACAAAGAATGTCTGAGAAGTTTGAGGGGAGAAAAAAATAAAATATATTTTTGTATAACTTTCCACACTGTGGGCATGTGTGTGTGTGTGTGTGTGTGTAGTTTTGTTTCTATACAAATTCAAACTAATTAACTATTGAGACGGCGCCCGAAGTGTACACTGTCTGAGAAATTCAAAAGACAAAAAGAAAGAAAGGAAAAAAAATTCACCACATTGTTCCTGGAGTGATGTCTGAGGTGCGTCAGGGATATCATCCTTCAGGAGGAGTGAGTGGAGGCAGAAAAAAATCCCTCTCCTATTTATATCTGAGGGAGAGAGAGAGAGGGGCGGTCCCCACGGCTCATCCTCCTCCTCCTCCTCCTC